ATCCTTTCCCTTCTCTGTCTGCCATATATTATAGTGGAAAAAGTTCATTGTCCTGGAGATAAATAGTGGTTTTCACTAGTCTGGCCCATAACCAGGAACATTGCTTCACCTCTGGGAGACTTAGTTTCTTTTTCTAGAAATTGAATGCCATAGAGGGTTGCTGTGAACATTAATTAAAGACATGAACTGTAGAGACCATAAGGTCTGACACATAGTATTCAACTGTCGGCTTCTTTTCTCATTGCTCTATGGTTTGCAGTAATATTGCACTCTTATCTGCAATATTTCTTTATTCCATTCTTGAAATAGTATGAGAGGGGATTGCTTTTGAGGACCAATTGGGATGGAAAAAAAAGAGGTCAAAAAAGTAAAAACTTTGCAATATAGATACTGAAAGGTTATCATGTATGTCATTTACCTACTTTTAACACTCAGTTCTTGTTGATCACAATGTGATCATTTCCAACTATTATTGTCATACTGGTGCCTTTTCTATTTTATCTACCCTCCACCTCACACACACTTGTGTGTGTGATTCCAACCACTGACCATCAAGAGTTCTCCATCCCTCACAGAGGGTCTATTCTCCATCCCTCAATCCTCCTCACCTCTGTTTTCTCTGGCCTTGGATATTAGTCTTCTACTATATTTTTCACAAATGAGAGGCAGTCTGGTAGGAGATGGTAGGGAACTGGAGACACTGGTGCTGAGAAATGTACCGTGGTGGAGGGATGGGTTGGAACACTGTATGACTGAACCGTAATCATAAACAGCTTTGTAAAGGTCTATCTCACAATGATTCATTTAAAAAACATCTTTAAAAAAAGTAAAAACTTGCTATCCGTTGTCTTCATCTTTAAAGGAATTAGTAAGGAAGCAATCTCAGAAGACATACTTGAGTTTTCAGCACTCTCTTCTACTCTGACTTGTTTATATCTCATTTATCCACCAAGAGTGAAGTTCAGCCATTTTCTACTTTTACATTTTACAATAGAAACTAAACTGTCTACTCGCTGTTTTTTTTTTTGACTGAATCACCGTAAGGTACAGTTACAAAGCTTTCATGTTTTAGTTTCAGTCATACAATAATCAAACACCCATCCCTCCACCAGTGCACATTTTCCACCACAAATATCCTCAGTATTTCCCCATCCCACCCCTCCCCTGCCTCCATAGCAGAAAATTTCCCCAATATACTCTCTCTACGTTTGGGCAGCATGGTTTGCAATACAGATACTGCTACTCACTGTTAATGCTTTTTCTTTTTCCAAATTTTTATTTTGTTAAAGTACCATGAATTACAGTTATTCATAGTTAGGTTTTTGACATAGGATGTTGCTTGCAAGTCCCACCACCAATGTAAACTTCTTCCCACCCGTATTCCCAGACTCCCTCTCCTTCCTCCCCACCTAGCCCAACCTGCCATCTTGACAGATCTTGACAGGCACCTTTTAAAACCTGTTTATTAAAATTTGGGTCTTCTCTGTTAATTCCAACTGTTACAAAAAGAAAAAAATGTCAGGGTAAGGGTTCAAGTTTTAGAGCAATATATCAGCATAAAGCAAGGCATTACTGATGATAATGAAGTGTTGTGATTTTTTTTATTTTTTTAAATTTTTTAAAAAATCGAGTTGTTTATTAATGTTAAAGATCCCTGATTTAAAAATCCTTCACTTTCATTTCTACTAAAGCGTTTTAATAAATCACTATTTCATACAATTAAAAGTAAATAATAATTTTGAGATTTACCATTGTATTTTGGATTTACATATGTAGAAATTTGACTCTATATAATGCTGAATTTATGCCAACTTTTTAAAAAAATTTTATTAGTGAAACACCATAAGGTACAGTTGTAGACTTACAAATTTTTGTGCTTGGGTTTCAGTTATACAGTGATCAAGTACACATCCCTCCACCAGTGCCCATTCCCCACCTCCAATGCTCCCAGCATCCCTCCCACCCCCCAACCCCCCATCCCACCCCACCCCACCCCTGTGGCAGGGAATTTCTGTTTGTTCTCTCTCTCCTTTTGGGTGCTGTGGTTTGCAAAAGAGGCTTTGAGTGGCCTTCTTGTTCGGTCTATAGTCTACTTTCAGCATGCATCTCTCATCCTGGAAGGATCCTCCGAACACCCTTTACTTGGTGTTCCCCTTTCTGTCTGAGCTGCCTTCTCCCCCAGAATGTGCGGCTGGCCTCCAAGCCCCGGAGTGAACCTCCTGTACTTGTCTCGGTTATTCTTGGGTGTCGGTCGTCCATTTTGTTACTTTATATTCCCCAGATGAATGCAATCTTTCTATGTCTGTCCCTCTCTTTCTGACTCATTTCACTTAGCATGATACTTTTCATGTAGTACCACTTGTATGTAAATTTCATGACTTCGTCTTTTCTAATAGCAGGCACTGTGATTTTTAAAAAACTTCAGTAACTTGGTCTAGATAGACTGCTATATTCCTGATTCTCAGGAAGAATCATCCCATTTATTTTTTAAATGCATCAAATAATAATGAACTATTAAAGACTGTTGTTGGGAACAGAAAATCTTTTTTATTATTAACAGCTATGAAGCAACTATGTATCACTTCCTGCCTTTTTCTCTTTTATGAATGACATTCCAGAACTTTTCCAATATTCCCTAGTTCTGTGCTCTGGCTCTTTATCTTTCCATTTTTCTTCATTCCCTGCCAGTGAAAAGGTGATGACTGTCAGATGTCTACTTAAAAATGTAATTTATGGTGGGGATGACCCAATGTTGGATTATCAGACCACTAGTACTTGTATTAAGTGATTGTTGTTAGTCACTGTCACTGTCCTATCATTGTCCTCCCGTTGTTCATCAATTTGCTCAAGTGGCCCAGGAATGTCTCCACTGTGACAATTGTTACTGTGTTTGGCATATCGAATACCTCACGGGTAGCTTGCCAGGCTTTGCCGTGCGGGCGAGATACTCTTGGTAGCTTGCCGGGCTCTCTGAGAAGGGTGGAGGAATCGAACTTGGGTCGGCCATATTGGATGCTTGCAAGGCAAATTGCTCCAGCCCATCCATCAAATGGTAATAAATAGTAACTCAGAACTTGGCAATGGAACCCACAGTCATTAAATATTGTGAGGCAGAGCTAAACCTTTGGGCATCAAAAATATTGCAAAGTACAAGCTAACTCAAGACCAGTGTTCCCTATGTTGTAGAGTGATTACATTTTAGATATCTTTCATCTTCCATCAAAAACAGTTGCCAGGGAGTAGAAATCCTCTGAAAAACTTCTAAAATGAGAATGGAAAGGACTAGGGTCTTGTGTTATTTCCTTTTCCTTTTCATGACGCTGCTTGAAAACCTAACACGTGACTTGTCTTGCTGTGCTAATGAAAGAGACTTGAGATTGTCTCCTGAGAGAATATGTAGTAATGTAAGCCCTAGAGACCTTGATTTACTGGGTCATTGACCTAGTGAGATAGCTACATGAAATCAGCTAGTTCTCACAATCCGGCCAGCTAAAATTCCCAGAGGAGTGGGAGAGAAGCTCAATGGGCTGAGCTCATGCCTGGCATGCAGGAGACCTGGGTTCTGTCCCTGATATCACAAGGTAGCCACCCTGAACAGAGTCCTGAATAGCCTCCAGACTCATCTGGGTGTGGCTCCACTCTCCCTCCCCCCTAAAATTCTCAGAGGGGAAGACTGATGGTTTGGCTTCCCTCAGAAAACCACACCAACAAGAACTGAGGTTCGGTGAAATCGAGAATTTTTTCATGATGATAACTCTAAATCACACGCTAGGCTAGGTTTTAGTTTGGAGTCAATCACAAAATGCAAAAACAATTTTGGTACTACGCTTTTTTCAAAGAGAACGTTGTTCATTCAGCCCCAGGCTCAAAATTCAATAGTATGTTTTCTATAAACCCTTTCCCCCTCCTCCTCACATCAAACAATATCAAAGAGGAAAAAATGTGGAAAAATTTTTAATTAATCCCATATGTGTACTTATGTATATGACCAAATTGAATTAGTAGCAGTTTCTTTACACGCACACTCTGGCTCCAGCGCTTCCACCCAGGGCCGCCCGGGCTCCTTCCTCCACCTTCCCATCTTCCTTTGCGGCTTGGGTTCCCATCGACCCTCAGATGTCTCCTCTTGGGTGGCCTGCTGCCACTGCTGCCGTCGACAGCAGTCTTGTGCCCCTCACACTGTGTCTGGGTGTTCTTGGGTCTCCTTGCGGGAAACGCCTTCCGTCATAGGCTTTGCGTCCTTCCTCTGTCGTCCCTCAGCAGCGTACTTCGGCATGCACCTTCGCATCTTTTCAGTGATTCTCTACGTGCCGAAAAGGCGATGGGTATTTCATAAGCGTTGTGCAGCTTGAGGGCTAAACGTGGGGGTAATCGCGAAATCACAGGGGCTTGGGCACGTGTGCCTACGCCCTTTGCCTGCCCCGTCTTCTCAGTCAGAGCTCACAGCTTGGAGTTGGAGGCCAGGCAGGTGTATTTCCTGGAGGTACTGAAGGACTCGAGTCTAACTTCGTTGGTGATTGGCCCCCGTGCTTTGTACTGAGGAGGTAGTTCGCGCTCAGTTGCTTCAGTCTCTGAAAAATACTTTTAAGACGTCAGATCACAGCTCCTTTGCACCGGGCTGCAGGTGCCGTGAAAGCCCAGGCGCTTGCTCTGACTTTCACAGCCTCGGAGGTTTCCTCCGGCCCGCGCTGGCCCCGGCCACGGACCGGCTCTCCAGCTGGCCTGACTGAGCGCGGCTTCCTCGGGCTCCGGCCGGCCGCGGCCCCGGCCGCTCTGGCGTCTGCTCCCGGCCTCGGCGGGGCGGAATCTGCAGCTGCAGGAACTGCCCGGGTCCCGGCTGGGGCAGGACCGCGGACGCGCCGGTGGCCTTTCCTTTTGCGATTGGCTCCCCGGAGTCACGTGAGGGCCCGGGGCTGGAATTCCGAGCCGCGGCTTTTGGCGCTCCTCTTTCTCTTTGGAGAACCGCCTGGTGCGTTGCGCCGTCTGGGCTGGTGCCTCGCTCCTGGAGACTGGAGGCAGACGGGAAGCGCCACGGGGCAGGCTGAGGTGGCGAAGCAGCTCTGCCGAGATGTTCAGTCAGGGCGCCAGGACCCCAGCTTCAGGCTGCTACTATTTAAATGCCAGGACTCCCGAGGGCCAGGAGATGTTCCTGCGCTTTGATCAGACTGCGAGGCGCTCTCCTTACAGGATGAGCCGGATTCTAGCCCGCCACCAGCTAGTGACTAAAATCCAGCAAGGTGAGTTGCCGGTAGTGGCAAGCTGCTGCTAACCTAGTTGTCTCTTGGCGCCGTCTCATGCTAACCCAGCCTTTAACCCAGTTATTGTTTTCATTTTGCGACACACGGATTTCTGCGCCACGCCGCACCTTAGCGCTGCAGTTCCCAGCCCAACAGTGACTGACAGCAGGTAGCTGCTGCGCAACTCGACATAAAGTGCCCCCCCCCCCCGAAAAGAAAAGTAAGGAAAAGGAAAGAAAACCTTCACGGTAGGATGTTGAACCCTAAACTCGCCCATAGTTATCTATCTACAAAGCAAGTGAGGAAAAGAGACGCTGCGTGTTTGGAAGCGGGGGCTGCTTTGCCACAGGTTTCTCATGCTCTCTTCTGTGGGAACTTGGTCACACTCATTTCTTTAATCAGGAGAGGAGGGAGACTAATTTGCACCCTGCCCAGGTTCTTTAAAAACACTCCTGCAGAAGAGGGAAAAGTCACAAATCTATTCTTGAAGGCCAAACCGGCTGACACCCAGAGCCACATTCTCTGCCTATTTGTATGTTTATGCCAGCACTTGCCATTCGCTGTGGATGTTGTTTGACTGGATAAGGCTGAGCTAACCTCAAAACAGATCATGTAACCTGGGAGCCCAAATACCACCTCCTAAAACAGAGGGGGAAATGTTACTAACAAGCGACGGGGTATTTCTTGTATTTTCAGGAGAAAATAAGGAACAGCTTGAATGTCATTAAAATGAATCATTTTCCAAAAGCAGTTTAAAACATGTTTTTTTTAATCTTAGGATAGGTCTGTAACAAGCAGGAAGACGAACATTCCTAAATAGCCCGTAATTGGTGTGTATTTCAAATACACATGTATCCATGTAACAATTAATTGTGATCACCCTCCTCTAAAACTAAAAAGAAATACCTTATATTATTATACTGGTATAATTATTAGATAAAGAATGTCTAGAGTTATAAAACAGAGAATTTCCACTTAAGTAAATGAGTTTAGTATTATATTGAATTTTCGAGGGGAAGTTGGGCTTTGTAATCGTGAAAATCTATTGTAATGTTTCCAAAAGGAACAATATGTATTCTAGTGAGCAGCATTTGATGAGATTGTTTCCTTGGAAATTAGAATTTGTTTGTAAAAGTTCAGGAACTGGTTATGTGTGAAGGATACTGGTCCTACATACCGGTCTGATTTCAGGAAGGATATTATGTCATTCCATAAACTCTGTGTGCAGGTCTTGATTGAATAGAAACAAAAGTAATTATTTCCCTGTGGCTTGATTTAAAAATACATTAGGCTTAGAATAAAAACCAGCTCCATTTTTAGAGGTTCCTGACAATGGGACTTTACCAGATGCTAATACCATAGTGGGCATAGGGGCTTAATAAATGTCTGATGGTGAATTATTATCTATAGTCTGTAAATATTTCACAGCATGCGTTTTAAAAAGTGTATTATATTAGAAACATTGCATAAAAATTGTTTGAAGTTGCTCTGCACATTTGTCAATGTAATCATTGGTTTTATTAAACATGATTTATGTTCCCTTCATTGTAAAGAATATTTTTCTATTGAAGATGAAGTTATGAACATTTTCATTATCATTGACATACACAAGGAGCTTGTGTTTCATTTTGCCTAAACAGAAAATTTGAGCTTTCGTACCTTTTTATATTGGAGAGTGGAAACGCTGAAACCAATGAATGACTAAAAATGAATGATGACTATTAAAGCAAAAGGAAATATGAGAGAATTCCAGCATTCCAGAGACTATTTGCGTTCAATATTTGCTGATGGGTAATTTTGTGTAGTAATACCATGAGAGAAAAGTAGCAAAATAATTTTGTTGGGTTTACTTTTCTAGCAGATTTGTTTGCCGTAAAGGTAGAACATATGGGCCTGAGTGATAGTGTGGTGGGTTGACCAAGGTTCAAGCCTTTCTCCTCTGCTCCTGGCATCCTATATGGTCCCTGAGCCTTCCAGGAGTGATCCCTGAATGCAGAGCCAGGAGTAAGCCTGGAGCACTGCCAGGTGGGGTGCTCCTCCCACCCTAAAGAAGAACAGGTTGATTGAACATTTATAATGTATCCAGTACTGCCCTAAGAGTTTTATGTTAGGCTGGAGAGACAGTACAGAGACAGTGCGGTGCTTGTCTTGCAGGCAGCAGACTCAGGTTCTATTTCAGGTATCCCATATAGTCCCCTGAGCACTGAACCACCACCAAGAGTAATTCCTGAGTGCAGAACCAGGAGTAACCCCTGAGCATTGCTGAGTGCGGCTCCAAACCAACCAAACAAAAAGTTTTGTGTCCATTTTAATTTATGTTATCCTTTAAAAAAGACTTCTAGGTAAATACTATTCTCATTTTAAAGATGAGAATATAGAGGCACATAGAATTAAGGTCATTTATCTGAGATTATATAGTAAGAGGTTACATAGTAAGAGATGGTATTTGAGTATAGTTCTAGGGCTCATACATTATCTCAATTGTGTTTTAGTTTCTGCGATGAGTCCTGAAACTGTTTTATTTTGGGGGGATGATATGATTTGCCAAAAATCTGTCAGTCTTTTGTACTCAGAATACAGGAATGAATTGTATTACAGAATCAGAACTGGCAGCTCAATATGAGATGTTTGGGGTCTGATTTTATTTGGTTTCCAGTGGAAGTAAAACCTTCCCTGAACAGTTTGTACCACAGTGTGTGATGTCACGTTATTTTACTAATGGCCTGTAATTGTTCAAGCTTATCAAGTACTTATTAAATGAATAACAGATTTTTTGGGTAATTTCCATATCCTGAAATGATACAGATAGCTTAGTAAAGTTGTTTTCATATTCTGCTATGGAGTATTCAAGGAAGATTTTTCATTTTACTAACTTAATTTGGGGGAATCATTATTTATCATCATAGTCTCTCTTAGCTTTTGGGAACAGAGCAAACAAAAGTGAGTAGCTCCCCACTGACCTCATTATAGTGAGATAATCAGTGAATGGCATGGACATGATTCAACAGCAGATACACTCATGGGAAGGAAAAACAAGGAGAAGAAATAAAGGAATCTTTGATGATGCATCAGATCAGAATTAGTTGCCCAAACCCAGGATGAATCTAAGCTTGCTCATTTTGTGACTACTCCAAAATGTATATTCATCATCTCTCTAGCCTTCTTCTCAGTTCCTGAGTTTTAACTACAGTTATATAGAGAAGAGTTGTTTAAAATACAGTGTTGTTTGCAAAGTGAAAGTTTATTACAAGTCATACTGCCTGTGATCCCTCTGTCACAATCTTGCTGAATCAATGGGGAAATTGTTGTAGGGAAAGAGAATGGAAAGAATAGCTGCCCTTATTTCTCTCACTGGAGGGAGATTGCTGAGGAGGTGGAGGAAGAGCATGTCAGGCCCAGGGAGAAGAGAGAATTGACTTTTAATACTAGTATTTGATAGCTGTGATTTATTAGCTACATGAGACCATATTTAAAGTCTGCATACTCACAAGGATGCTGTTTGGAACATTCAAATCTATGCAGATACATAAATGTAATTACTTGCTTTCTGAATGAATTAAACCTTGATTTGTGCCATTAAACTCATGCTATTAAACTTGGAAAGCATTGTTTAATGCTTTAAACAACACAATATAGATCGGACTGAGATGAAGTTCAGTGACCCAGTAAAAAGGAGAGAAGGCTGCAGGGATGCCTACTCAGACACTCCGTCATTCTTTTACTGTAACAAGTATCAAAACTTCACTGTGCTTTCGTTTCTTTTGGGGGTGGACTGTACAACACTCAGCTATGCTCAGGACTTTCTTCTGGCTCTGTGCTCAGGGATCATCCAGGGGCCATATAGTCTTGGAGATTGAACCTGGGTAAGCCACATGAAAGGTGAGAACCTTACCTGCTATACTGTCTCTCTAGCCCTGTCTTCATTTATTAATGAGAAATGAAATGGCCAGAAACCATGCTAATCAAGTTTATTCTGGTACTCAAATTCTCTGTGTAGCTGATTCAGTAGCTCCCTAAACAAGAGTGTAAAACAGGGGAACCTAAATGTGAAGTAATAAAAGCAGAAAAGGAAATAGCTTTAGAAAGTGATATGACTTCTAATTTTGCTACAGTTTGTTCAAGAAATGGTTCAGTGAAAATCAGATTTTAGTTCTACTTCTGCCACCAATAATGATTTGGAGCTAGTCACAGCTTCTCTAGACACTGTTTTCTTTATTCCATAAAAATAATGTGTCTGGATTGCACAGCGGGTAGGGCGTTTGCCTTGCATGCGGCCAACACGGCCGGCCCGAGTTCGAGTCCTCCGCCTCTCTCGGAGAGCCCGGCAAGCTACTGAGAGTATCTCACCTGCCCGGCAAAGCCTGGCAAGCTCCCTGTGACGTATTCCATATGCCAAACACAGTAACAAGTCTCACAATGTTATTGGGCCTGCTCGAGCAAATCGATGAACAACGGGAGGAAAGTGACAGTGACAGTGGATTAGTTCATCTGTAAAGAGTCTGTCATCTCTAAAATTCTAGTATTCTGTGATCACGTTTTATATTGAGAGACCATTCTTAGGTTGTCCTTATATTCATTGTCCTTATTGTGTCAGTATTTTCCCACACATGTTCCTTCAATAACTGTTTAACTGTTTCATTATGAATTCTGTTGGAATGTCAGACTGTCCAATCTTATGGACCATCTAAATGTTAGTACAATCAGTAATTAATTATAAAGAACCTGGTAAAAATCCTTTCTTTTTCTATAATCCAGTACTGCAAAATGAAGATATCATGATGCTTGACCTATCGCAAGGACTGAAGGTACTAGAGAATGATCTTGTGAGTGAGCTCAAGTCTCAAGAAAGCCCTCTACTCTGAACTAGATATGCAAACTAGAAATGTCTACATTTCCTAAGGAAATTGAATTTGCTTATTCTTGAGTTGTTGTCAGAGGCTGCTTTCATGTACAGATAAAATCCTGAATTGAGTGTAATCTAATGTGGAATAAACTGCATT